TTATATTTGTGCACTTAAAATTGAAGATGAATTTTTTTTTAAAATGATGTGATAATGTTGTTTAGAGTGTTCGCGGTTCGATTTGAATCGATTTTGAAGTAAAATGTCATCTGATCTGAAGATATATTTATTTGTGGTTTGATTCGGTTTTAGATAATTGATTAAAAAAATCTGATCCAATTTCTTGCAGTTTGATTTAGATCGGTTTTTTAGATATTCAAATTACAAATTATAATTTTATTAATATTGTAAAAACACTAATAAATAATAAATTTAATATAATATATAACATATACTTTATTAAAAATTAATATTACAAAATAATAATGATCAGTTATGATTGAAACAAATAAAATAATAGATTAAATTAAACTAAGTATTTTCTAAAAAATATCATCTAATAATAAATTAATATAATATATTATATTAATAAAAAAATAAATAAATATAAAAATATATACATGCGGTTCGATTGATTTAAATTGGTTTTGAAAAATCAACATAAAATTTAATCGAACTGATCGATTTTTATTAAATGACATCCAAACAGATTCAATAATTTTTAATTTTATTTAAATTGATTTGAATTTGAACATCGAAAAACAACGACAGAATGTATAAGATATTTTGTGAAACTTTATATATGATTAAATATGTTTGTGGAAAGAGGCTCTACATTATAATTTGAACCTAACATGCTAGCATTAATTTTCCATTAAATCTATGATATTCTACAGCTTACAAAAAGGGTCAATAATCTTCTAATTAAAGGTACGATAATTGATCTTTTCATTTGAATTTCATTTTCTTTTCATATTTTAGTGACAAGTTGTGAATTCAACTATATTTAACCATAAAAATATAGAAAGAAAAAAAAAACGTCTCATTGATTTTCTGATGAAAAAAAGAAGAAAAAATGACTTGTTTTAGTTCAATAGATTTAAAGCAGTTTAATTGATTTTATATTATAAAATTTGCAAAAAGAATAAGATAATTTTTTAAAATAATTTTAAAAAAGTTAAAATTGAAATTAGATTCAATTTTCAAAATTGAAATTAGATTCAATTTTCAAAATTGAAATTAGATTCAATTTTTAATCTTGAAAATTTTAAAATAAATATTAATTAAATATATTTTAATTCACTCGTAGTGATTAGACAACATATAAATATAAATGATAAAGATTTCCTCAATGTATGATGTGATTTACATAATTTTTCTCATGGGTTTTTTGCTTTGTTGTTTGGTTTGTAGGTGACTTGACTTTTGAGCTAGAACTATTTTATGATATTTGCACTTGTCGTGCTCTAACGAGATTGATTCTACAAGTGGGAGTTTGTCTAGTATCATTAGGAATCGTTCCCGGCCAAGGGTTGGGTTCCTATCCTTTTTCACAGGGTTTATACTATTTTGGAGTGAACATCTATGGTTTCCATTGCTTATGTTTTTTGAGTGGTTAGTTCTTATGGGGGGGGGGGGGGGGTGGTTGGTTATACTTTATGCACATTCCACCAGAAAGAGTTCATGAGAAGGGCCCTATTTCATAAATACATTCTATGCCATCTTTCCAAAGGCTATGATGGTGTTCACACACATAATATTTCTTATAGTTATGAGATATATTAGTTCCAAATTTTGAAGAGTTTTAAGGGATACCTATCTTGTTATATAGAGCATGTGCAACTTCTTTTTGATTCCTTCTCCAATTAACTTCGTAGTTTGGAAATATTGTTGTGTGTTCCTCGGGAAATCGACTACAGGGAGTCCAAACCCGACCGTCAAGCAATAGGTTTATCTTCGGAGTAATGCAAGTTTAAGAACTCTATCGACGATATCCTTATCTTCTTATAACTTACCTTATCTTTCTTCCTTGCATGTCGGGTCCACCCAAGTACCAATGGTTCATTTGATTGAACATGAGAGATGTTAGCTCTGTATCATATATCAACATATATATCTGGTTATACCTAGAGTACATGTTCCCTCCCAGCGATTGGTTATGACTAACCGAGTCAATCATCTCCTCGCATCTCATACCACTTGGATATATTAGAGGTAACTCTGACTTTTCTCTAAAGATTTCCTTTTCTCCGCACCAGGAGTTGCACCATGCATTGAGACCGATGCCTCATTGAAGACTTGCTATGACGATGTCTCTGTTGGGCATTTATATAGGAAGATAGTGAAGAAATCCACACTAGCTCAAATTCATGTAATAATCGTGTCTTTTTCTTAACTTTTTTCTTCTTGGACCTGGTCAGATTATCAACGAGTTGAATACCTTCAGAATCCTTACCTTTCCCTATACCTTCCTCTGCCACTGTCAAAAAAGTGAGGAGGTTTTTTAGCATGACTTCTCTAATACGCCATGCCGCTTTCAAGTCAACGTCGACCACAATTGGCTTCCTTTAGCTCTTATTATGCGCTACCTTTAACTGGAGTGGAGAGACCTCATTCTCAAGTTTTTCCAGAAAGACCTACCAAGGATGCCACTAAAGGCGAGTTGCTAAATTGTCGAAGGCCGGAAGATCTCTGCCATCGTGTGGATTAAGATCTAGCAGTCGAATCTTTATGCGCTTAAGTGGGCCATTGTAGAAGACATTACACACATTTTTTGTCATGTAATTTGCAACAGTGGTTGTTATAACCAACAAAAACTCAGCATTTGACACTCATTTTACCTTCTTGCGATCTAAAAATCCTAGCGTCGACTCTCACATTTGTAAACTTGTATTGGTCGTTGCTTGAAGGAGGTGCTATGATGGTAGATTCCTGCCAGACAATGTTTTTGCGTAGATCCCATCGATGGTTGAGAATTGAGTTGAAGCAAGATCAGAGAATTCAACAAAGTTCTTCAGTGAGATATAGGAGGTCACTACCTCCACCTCCCAAAGTTTTTGACATATATCTGGCTTTGAATAAAAAATGATCTCCTCGTGGAATTTCGCGGGAATTATGAGTCAATCCCCATAGAGGACAACAATGTTTTGTACTAGAAACAAAATTTATGCTGATTGATGAGATATGACTCTGGATTCGGTGATACTGATCTCTGGTGTGGTGGCACATGATGGACCTGCAAGGTTAACAAACCAACATTTAAAAAAATCAGAGTCTAAAATGAGTATAGTAAAAAATAAAAATAAAAAAAGTATAATTTAAATCTTATGTGTGCTAACTATATATGTTAAATAATTTTGATTAGAATTGTGCATGGTTGGGCCTTGGTTTTAGACCTTCGATGGGTCCAAAACAAAAAAATAAATATGAAAAACTATTAAATTAGCTATGATTGGCATTAAATTTCTAGTCACTTAGCAACTTTATATATATATATATATATATATATATATATATATATATATATATATATATATATATATATATATATATATATATATATATATATATATATATATATATATATATATATATATATATATATATATATATATATATATATATATATATATATATATATATATATATTAAAAAAGGAGAAATTATTAAATTAATCTTAATTATTTACTTTAAATTTTCTTTTCAATTATTTAACAACTTTTATATACAAGATATTTGATTAATACAACATTGACCATATATTTATTTTAATTCAATTGATTTATAACAGTTCAATTGATTTTATATTTCAAAATTTTCAAAATAAAAAACTAATTTTTGTAATTAATTTTAAAATCAAAATAAAATTTGATTTTAAATCATTTTAAAATTGTCAAAATAAACATTAATTATAAATATATTTTTACTAGTAGTGATCGGACAACATATAAGTAGGGATGGCAAAAATATCCATACCCGCGGATATCCGTGGATAAAATCTGCCACGGATATGGGGTTGATAGCTTAATGGATATCCATGGATAAAATAAATGGATATTTAAATACCCATTTGTTAATGAATATTGATTTGGGTTTAATAATATCTATACCCGCGGATATCCATATCCGTTTATAAATTATAAAAATTATTTAAATATCATTAGTTTATTATACTTTATCTTTGCATCTTCTAAAAAAATCAGACTTCTTATACTTTTTTTTTTAATTCTTTTAAGAAAACCTTTCACTTTTCATTCAAATTCTATTTGTCATTTCATATTTAAACTCTTCGATACTTCATACCCCACTTCATCAATTTCACAGTCCAACCAACTAATATCATCATTCCTTTGTCGAACTAGTGTCTCCATTCCTATTATTCTGTCGTCTGATCTTCCATCATTCCTCTGTCGAATCTTTTGTATGGATGTTATGTAATAATAAATTTTTGTGTCTTTAAAATAAGTTAAAAATAATTTTCTTAAAAAATAATTTTTATAAAAAAAAGTATTATCTATAGATATATGTAAATATCTGTGGATACCATAAAACTCGTGAATTACCCACAGATATCCACATGGATATGAGGCGGATATGAATATCATATTTATCTAACGGAGCGATACGGATATCATAGTATCTGTCCCCATGGATATTCATTTACATCCCTACATATAAGTGTTAAAACCAATACCTAAATTATATAAAATATTTTATGATTTTAAAATTTAAGTAAAAACTAATTTAAACTAAACATATTTTGTTTTAAAATTACCTTATAAAACTCATACCAACTTTTATTAATAACCACCCAAACAACTCTTAATCATATAGGTGATCTTTAGAGACAAAAACTAAAAACTATAATTTTTAAAACAAATATTTTTTTTGTTGTAACAATTTACAATGTAAAGTACTAAGATATCCATAATTGTTGTTTTGTTGTTAGTTTTGTTATCCTAGTGTAGTGTGTGGTCTCCATAATACAAGGACTATCCCTTCCTTCAAGGACACCATTCATCAATCATTCACACAACACAAAAACAAAATTCATCTTCTTCTCTTCCTTTCTTTATTTCTTTATTTTTTCTTAATTTTTAATTTCTCAAACCCTATCCTAAACTAATATTAATTTCCCCAAATTCTCTTTCCAATCTCCTATGTTTGTTCTTGTTCTTGGTCGTTCCCTCACTTCCTCTTCCTTATATAAGACTTCCCCTTTCACTCAAATTCCAATCCAATTCAAACCCATTTTTCTTCTTCCCCAAAAGCTTCAATCTTTAGTCCCAATTCAACCTTCTTCTTCATCCATGGCTACTTGTGTTGATTCTTCAACTCCTTCTCTTTCTCGCAAACCAAACGTCTCTCAACCCGATGATTGTTCCTTCAACTTCGCCAAATTCTTCCAACCCACTTTCTCTGATCGTGTTTCATCCATACCCATCTCAACCAATCATGAAAAAGCCACCGTTTTGGAGGATTTTAAACATGCTGTTCATGACGAGGTTGATGTCGTTGATGTTAAGGTTAATATTAATGTTAGGTTTGATTTGTGGTTGAAGATTCAAGAAGAAGCAAGGTTAGATTTAGATCAAGAACCAATTTTATCTAGCTACTATTTCAGTTCAATTTTATCTCACAAATCATTCGAAAACGCTTTAGCAAATCAACTATCGGTTCATTTGAGTAATTTGAGTCTTTCTAGCACAACCCTTTTCGATATTTTCAAGAGTGTTATTATTGATGATGAAGATATCATAAACGCCATGAAATTCGACATTGAAGCAGTGAAAGAAAGAGACCCTGCTTGTATAAGCTATGTCCATTGTTTACTAAACTTCAAAGGCTTTCTAGCAATACAAGCTCATAGGGTAGCACACAAACTATGGTTACAAGGTAGAAAAGCTTTAGCTTTGTTGATTCAAAATCGGGCTTCCGAGGTTTTCGCGGTCGACATTCATCCCGGTGCTAAGATCGGGCGAGGGATTCTGCTCGATCATGCAACGGGACTTGTCGTTGGCGAAACGGCTGTCATCGGGAACAATGTTGCGATTTTGCATAATGTTACGTTAGGCGGAACGGGGAAAGCTTGTGGCGATCGGCATCCGAAAATCGGGGACGGTGTTTTGATTGGTGCAGGGACATGTATTTTAGGGAATATTAGTATTGGTGACGGTGCTAAGATTGGTGCTGGTTCTGTTGTTTTGAAAGATGTTCCTCCAAGAACTACTGCTGTTGGAAATCCTGCTAAGTTGATTGGTGGAAAAGATAACCCTATCATGTTGGATAAGATTCCTAGCTTTACTATGGATCATACTTCATATATTTCTGATTGGTCTGATTATGTTATCTAGAAACCTAAATTTTCTGTAGTTTCTGCAAGACACATTTAACAGATTTTAGCCGTTGATTAGTCTGATTCAGATCAGACAAATCAACGGCTAAGATCAGATAAATCAGCGGCCAAGATGCTGTCCCATGTTTAGTTTAAATCAATTGTTTAGAGACTAATCTTGTTATGTGAAAGCATATGTATTATATATGAAAATGAATTTTTGCTTGTTATGCTTTCAATTTTTATATAAATATGCAGACAGACAAAGGGATAATAACGGATTTGTCTCCTTTTTTATATATTCTGTCATCTCTCATGTTTCTAATTTAACGGTTCAGAATTTATATTGAAGAAATTTCAAAAATAACAAAGACAAATTACTTATCAATTTCTCTTTCCTATTAAATGATTTTTTTTATTTAATTATTAATTATAAATTCTGAACCGTTAGATTAAAAACATAAGAGATGACTGAATATATAAAAAAGGAGAGCATCAAAATCCGATAATAACTATTATTATAGTTTAACTTTGACAAAATAATAAATAAAGCCTACAAGGTTCCGCAATAAAATTTACTTCAGCTTAATTTTTTATTTTATTTTATTTAAAATGATAAGGTGAAAAGGATGTTAATTAAAATATTTATTATTATTATTAGTTGTAATTAACAGACCATGTAACATTTAGAGCGTTGAAGAGGTAATTTTGTTTTGCCACCATTCAATATTTAAATTTTATTGATTTTAAAACTATGTGAAATAAAATTTGGTTTTGTGTGAGAGAGTGTTTGCTACGTCTTGTATAGTTAGTTATGTTGGGGGATGATTTTCAGTTTTGTCTTTTAAAGATTTGAAAAAATCCAGATCAGTTTTATGGTTTTTAAAAATTTCAGAAAATCAAAAGTAGATTTAACTATAAATAACTATAAATCATATTTATTTGATAGTCAATTTTTTTTTAATAATAATGGTTGAAATGTCAAATGGTGATAGGTGCTTAAAGTGGTGTTATTTTAGTGGTGGTCAATAATTATTGAGTTTGTGATGGACAATCACATATGTGACTGCTATTGCTAGAAGAGAATAAGATATATTCGGGTCTTTAATTTTATTTAAGTTTATATACACATTTGAGGAGGCATATATCATGTGGCATAATTGATATTCCACCTCATTTTTAATTATTTTCATTTGTTTTAATAATAATAAAAACTATTATATTTATTTAAAAAATATATTTATGTATTTTAAATTAAATTATCATGAGTTAAAAATATATATATTTATTTACAATATTTGTTTTTATTAATCTACACACAAATAGATTAATTTTTATATGAGGTTATAAGCAACTAATTCCTTTAACCTAAACTGAAGAATGAAAAAACTAGCACAACGATTCATTATTCAAATGTAAGTTAAACTGAAGAATAAAAAACTAATTATTCAATGTTCATAACTTCTATCATCATCAATTCCAACATCAGCTACAAATATTATTCAATCATTTTGTCTCATTAAGATTAATAGTTGTCTCATAAAGTATGAACATTGAAAAAATTAGTTTTGCAACATCCATTTAATACCAGCTATTTTATCACGATTTAACACCAACTAGTCTATTTCATTATCAAAATCTCAACTCAATTCCATTCAACCTCAACTAAACTCTTAAAAATTGATGAACAAATTACAACAAGTCTTACTATGACAGTTTCAACTCGATCTAACTCAAAAACAATGGAAATCAACAACAACAACCATAACATCAAGGTTTTAAGGAAAAATTGAAATCTCTAACACTCTACCAGAAACAACACAAACTCTTAAAAATTGTTCTTTCAAGCCTCAATACGAATAGAATGCTAATTTTAATGTTTAGTGGAGTAGACATTTTAGATATGAATTGGAGATATGAAAATGGGTATGGAGTGAATGTAAGAAGATTAATAGGTTTTTGAAAAGAATAATCACAATCTGAAAGAAGAACACAAACGTTGAAACTTGAACACAATCTGCAAGCAGACGAACAATAACAAACACTTAGAAAAAAATTAAACATAGAATTCATATTTTTGAGAAGAAACAATGGAAGCATAGAAGTCTTCTTAGATTAATGCCAACTTTTTAACATTTTCTGTTAAAAATTTATCATAAGTTAGATCAAACTCTTAAAAAGGGGAGGCTAGTAAAAAAAAGCATATAATAGATCTTAGACTAAAACTTTGTCGTAAATTAGACTTAGACCTTCTAATCCTACATGACTTATACTCTCTTTTCTAATGATTGTTTGATGATCATAGTATTAGTTGACGGCGGTCAAATTAACAATTAAATATAAATGAAATGGTAATAAGTGATAATCAGAGTAGTGGTCGGTGATAGCTATCAATGGATTGAATGATCATTTTGGTGATTAGAGATAAATGAAGTCGTAATGAACGATAGTTAAAATAATGGTTAATGATTGGATGTAGTCCGGAACAAATCCTAACACTTTGTTAAGTGGGATCAAAGCTAGGTGTTTTTTAAATACTTATAAAATATATAAAAATGTATAAACAACAAATTATTACATTATATATCAATTGTAATAATAATCAAAAGTTTAAGGGAATGCAATTTTTAGTTAGAGTAGTGAACTCACCGAGGTTGATAATGATTAGATTGGTGGTCATATTGTATATAGCTAATGGTTAGTGATTTATGATGCGTGAAAGTTTAGTAGTCTACACAAAAACACAAATTATAAAACTTGTTTTTGAGATTTTAGTGAAAGTTCTTTTTAAATTACATAAAAAATTAATTCAACTATATTTGACTTACAACCACGAACGACCATTAACATTAAAAAAATTACTTGAATCATAAATAAATATTTTTTAAAAATCATTTACTATAGTATTTTCTAAAATTTGATAAACTCAATCTATAAGAAAAATACATGTCTAAAAAAAAACTCTATTTTTGTTCAATATTAGTTTATTGATTATTTTATATAAATTAATAAAAAAGAATAAATAAAATTATATTTTTATTTTCAAAAATACAAGTGTAAATTGTAATTTATGAGTGATATTAATTAAAAGATTGATATAATAAAATATGAATTAAAATAGATTAATATGTATGATTATGCGATTGATAATAATATTTTTTAAAAATGATATGTTGTGTTCTGGACCGAACATTGACCCAATTTATTAAGGGTGAATCCATCTCAAACCCGCTCTATTTAATCCAAAATATAAAAGCGGATCACATGCCATGAGAAAGTACACAATCTCTTATTTTCAATTTTACATTACTCGTCTTGAATTTTAAATTGATTTGCGCGTTGGAGTGTTAACCATGCAAGTCCACTCCGCGCCACTGTAAAGGAGATCAGAGCACCGCTTATTTAGCCAATGCTCACTAAACATATAATCTTTAAATACACCGAGTTTATTATAAATTATGTGCAATGCTTATTTAGCCAATGCTCACTAAATATATAACCTTTAAATAAATATTATAGTATGACAAATTAAGTTATATTAGAAGAACGAGTTCACGTTCAATGCTAGACAAGAGTTCTTCAAGTCCTTATCTATATTTTGCTTTTTAACAGTTAGAACTTTGTTTAATTCTCATAGTTCTCCAACCTCTCATTCCTTCACCTCTAGTTCATTTTGAAAAATGTTATTTACTTTGCAAACAAAACTAGAGGTGGAGAAATGAGCGATTAAAGAACTACAATAATTAAATAAAGTTCTAACAGTTAAAGAACAATATGCAGATAACAGGCTGAAGAGTTCTTGTCTAGAATTGAACGTGTACTTGTTTTCTAATATAACTTTATCTATCATATTATATTTTTTTAATGCATCTGAAAAGTTATCTATTCGGTAAGGGATTAGAAAAATACTCAAACCACATAAGATATAATAAACTCATCTTTCAAACAAACATTAACAACAACATTCATTAACAACATTCATCAACAACAAACCATAAATAAAATTCAAGATACAACAAACATATCAACTCATAGAATGTTTTAGAAACATGCATACCCCATAATAGCATCCCTAATGAAAGAAGGATGAAGCTAAAGTGAGAGTTGAAAACTTGTGTCTATTTTGAATGAATGCCATTCAAGGTCTTTCACACAAGTTTGTAGCGCTCACTTTAGCTTCTTCCTCATTATTGAAACAAGAAGAAAGTTCAAACATTATGAAACAAGCTATTGAAACATAAACAATAATACATAAAAAAAATTTGAAACATAAACTATAGTGAAGACGAACATGTAAGATAACCATTTGCTAAGATTTGATGCAACAAAGGTATCATTCGAAGAAGACGAGTTGGATGCATAATTTTGGGGTTTCCATATGAGTGAGACGAGTGACAAAGATATTAGGGTTTTGTTTTGAGAGAGATGAATGAAAGGGATATTAAGGTTTTGTTTTGAGAGACACAGTTGTAATGTACTGAAGTGAAAGATAATTTCACTTATATATAAATAAGTATCACCTTTTACCACAGTTGATTGTCACACCCTAATTTTTGACCTTTAAGATCCCACCTCCTTGCGCTTTTTCTTCCACATTTTCTTTATGCTTTTATGCACGCTTATTATATCTAACAAGCTCGTGCAGGTGCACTGTTTTCAAATAGAACCGGCGTTCATCTTTTCAATTTAATATTTCAGGAAGTAAAGGTTTTTTTCTTACACTGATGTTGTGCACAAGGATTTATGGATTATTATGGCTGATGCAAGGGGATTTTGAAGTGGGGGTGCATTTATCTCAAGTCAAATATTATTGGGCTTTAGTTCTATTTCTTGATCGGGACGGAGGTTATGGAGTTATTGAATTAGAGTGACAAGATAAGCAAGATTCCAGCTCATGGTCTATCGGAATAATTCAAATAGGTGGAATTAAGGTTGTTGGATATGTTAATTTGGAAGTCCCATTTATTAGGATTCCTCGAATCTAAAGTCCAGGACGAGGGCAAACTATTTGTAATGATC